AGGGCCTACGTCAACTATCAGCAAGATGATTGGTACAAGCTGTTATCGATGGCTGAATTCGCATACAACAATGGAAAGCAAGAAACAATTAGCACGACACCCTTCTTCGCGAATTACGGACAACATCCACAAAGTCAGACCACATATCATACGATTAATGATGTGATACCGGAGAAAGCAGATATGGGAAAACTACACGAAACCTTACAATATGAGATGAGTCAAGCCCAACAACGACAAAAAGAACAATACGATAAGCACCGAAGACCGGATCCAAACATACAACCAGGAAACATGGTATGGCTAATACCACGCAATATCTACACAACACGACCATCAAAGAAACTGGACTACAAGAAAATTGGACCCTTCAAGATATTGGAAAAAGTGGGCAGCCGAGCTTATAAACTCGACCTTCCCCCCTTAATGCGAATACACAATACATTCCACATCTCACTCCTCGAATTACACAACGACAATAAATTTGCTTCACAAACACTTATTCCTCCCCCTCCGATCGAACTCGATGGAGAACCAGAATACGAGCTCGACGAAATAGTCGATTCCCGCTTCTTCCACGGTCACCTCCAATACCGAGCCAAGTGGACAGGATACTCTCCTGAATACGATAAAACTTGGTACTTCGCACACAACTTCGAAAATGCACAAGATGCCATCTCAACCTTCCACCAGCGATACCCAGGCAAGCCCGGCCCAGGTGACGATCACGTTCAACCAAGACAAAAGCGAGGGAAAGACTCCCGCGCAATTGTAGCAACATGAGGGCAGGGGCGATAGCCCACGCTAAACCACACCCACCAGCTCCGAATAATCATTCATGGGGCCAACCGACAAAGAACTCAAGGAAAGGGAAAAACAAGCACAGCATAACGCCATGTCATGGACGGTATGCTACGATGACGGTTGCCAAACACACTTTGGCGACAAAGAAGGCTCGGGATGGTTCCCGAGGGAATGTCGGAAGCGTGGCCCACGCCCGGACCACGTTCTAAAGTATTGGCAACAATGCTTCAGAAATGGGTGCAGGATGCATAGGGCACAAAAAATATCTGCGGGATTTTACCCGCAGAAAGATGGAAGCCGAAAAGAGTTGGAAGGAGATGATGCCAGAAAGGCATGGGCCACGAGGACGTGGTCCAAGCAGGGAGGGGCCCAAAACTCCTCGGCAGATACAGAACTGGATGTCAGGAGCCTACACAGGCAGATCCGGGGACTCCGAGAACAACTGGGCCAAGCTGAGTCCACAATTTCGGCAAACGACAAAACGATCGCGGAGCTTAAACAGCTGAACGACAACCAGCGACAAACGATCGAGATGGTGAATCTGACTCTGGAATCGGTAAGGGTCAGATGGAGGATGGCAGACGAAAAGTTCCACAAGCTGAGAAGGACCATGCGCTTGGCAGGACGGGAACTATTGAAACTGGGAGAAAAAGCCTGATGGGACTCAGGCTTAGGAGGAGGGGAGCTAATGTCACGAACGTGACTTAGTAAGGAAAGGGTTTTCATGTGACACATGGTTATGAGTCACAGGTATGTTATTGTTTCATGCATATAACCTATTTGGGTTGTATGATTAGTTATGTGTGGGATTTGTGATGCTTTCGCACATGGCTCAAGTATGAGTCATGGGACATGCGCCTGACGAGTACACCTTACGAGTATGCCTTACGGGCAAGCCTTGTGCATATGATTTATGTTTCGCACATGACCTCATTATGATGTCATGGGTTTCGTGCTTATGACTCAGTCGAGTCATATGACTTGTTTATTGCGTTATGATTGGTTTATGAGTTTTGCACATGACCTCACTATAAGGTCATGGGTTTCGAGCATGTGATCACTTTGGTCACATGACTAGTTTGTTTTGATTTGGTTTTGCACATGTGACCACTTTAGGTCACATGATTAAAGGCGGGAAGAACACTATATAAGGAGGCCGATGCGGCCGAAGAAGATAGGTTCTTCACGCTTTGTTCTAAGTACTTTTCCTACATATTACTTTAACGAATATAAAACACCTTTACGATCTTTATCTTTATTGCAACCTTATCATTACGCCAAGAAATACTCGTTACGAAGACGAGTTAGAGAAAGCTTACGATAGGTGTTTCCGATAGAAGACAAAGGTCTTGTACTATTGATAACATAGGCAGAGGCCTAGAGCTATCGTAAGACAAGGAAAGAAAGAGAAAGAAGAGGAAAGTATTGTTCCCCATCGACAAGAACTAACTATCTGAAAGGGGATCGTTACAGTACCCATACCAGTTACAGAGCAGGCCAATCAACTGACCGTAACCTAAGGCTGATCTGCTCCTTCTCTCCTACCTCTTTTGCTGTATTGTATGCAGAAGTATTATCTTCTACCATCCACATCTCCCTTCCAGTTTTCCTTTCCACTTTCTGCATGAAAGGATAATACAGAGGATGTAAAATATTCTCTCTGTATAAAATTCAATCATTTCCTCCTTTGCTTCTATCTCCCCTCTCTTTCACCAATTCCTTAAACTCCCACGCTGGATGTCGCTTTTACTGTAGATACCCTGAGGGAAGAGGATCTACTTGATCCAATATTTGTATATTAGCATTTAACTCCTTCAAAATCTCAAACTCTTCTGTTCCTTCAATAACTGCCTGTGCTTGTCTGTGATCCTGTTTCAATCTCTTTAACTTGTTTTCCTCTACAATCATTTTTCTGTAATATTCCTTCTCTTGCTTAGTTTCTTTTTCCCAAATAAAACAAGGACCCCAATACCCATCAGTTATACACCCCCAAAACATAAGCCATACTCCAGTAGGTTGAAACTGATGCATATTGTGGTCCAATGGGTTTGAACAATGGGGATAGGTGATATTTGGAGGCTGGCACAGTGAGCCAATCTCAACCCAAGTCTCATCGGAGTACACAAAACATCTAATTATAATATATTAGTATTAATATAATAAATTAAATATACAGTCATATCCCACTATTCCCGATGACCAAAATCAAATGAATTAGTTTGTTACCGTAAGTAATGAGGAACACTATGTTAAGTTTTGCTGTAGAAATCTTTTGAATTCACAGCATTTCATATAGAACAGTGGAAGGAATCCTTATTATTGAAATTAAGGACAGCAGGATTTGACTGTAAAAAAAAAAGATTATTTACCTGGGATTCATATGAATAGCCCAGAATGTAAAGTTCATTCTTCCTTCTTTATAGTACATGTTCAATGATGGTTTAGGCTGCGAGGGAGGAAATTGGTAAATATTGTGATGATTGTGTATCACATATTCAATTGTAGAACGGGCTGCCTTAATGTCCAATTCTCTTGCTATCTCCAGAAAGGTTTTTTGATATCCCATAATCCTGTTATCTTGCAAGGCACTCTTCAGTGCAAGTGACTTCTCAGAGTCTTCAGGTATCACTTTGGGCTGCCCGGGAGGATTGAGGCTTTGAAGGACAGCATACAAGTCCCAGAAGTCATTCAGATCACTTGCTCACTCCTATTTTATTATAAACTTTTAGCTATTATGCACTACTTTTGTTTCTGTCATATACCTTAGCTTACTGACATATGTGATGTGCAGACTTGGGATGAACAAGAAGGCATTTTGAGATTTCAATCCAGGTTTTATGGGTAAATAAATGAAGAGTGAGGATCGCACAACACAACTCAAGTGGAATCTCTGCTGCTCCACTTGTACGTCCCATGTCGAATGTGTTTAGAGTAACTAAGAGAAGATATAAGGCAGAACTGGGGATGTCTGATTGTTGATCCAAGTCTAAACTACAGTGATGATGATGGTGATTTTGTCATTGCTATCATGCTGCTCTAAGGGAGAATCTCATGTGACCAATATATTAATCGGCGGCACTCGTATTTGGTTGGTAGAGAAAACCTATGTCTTGGCGGAATTTGAAGGTTCAAATGTACAGTACCGTACAGTATACCATACCGGTATGATACAAGTAACGATCCTTGGGGAGTGGGCATTTGTGTGATGTATAGAAAAAATGATGTGCTTATCATACTGCTTTGAATGGATTATCCCCTGCAATTTTTCTCTGGCATAGTAATAATATCTTGGTGTGAAATCTGCTGATTTTGCGCTTGTGACCCCGTCACTTTTTCGGACCCACTCGTAACACCGTAATAATCTGAGCCCCCGCCAAACAAGAAACGCTCAAACCTCCATAGCTCAAACCATCATACAATAATGGAAGAGGAAGAAGAATTACCACCACCCTCCTACCCCGCAGCAACGGGCAAAGACCCGTTACCCCTCATAGCGCCATACATCGCAAAAAGAGACCTGTACAGTGCCAGTCTAGTATGCAAATCCTGGCACAGGGAGTTCTCGGAGCACCTCTGGCAGCGACCGGAGGTGTTCTGGAACTTGGGCGATCGTAGCGCACTGAGTACCCCCCCTCCCCTTCTACCTCCTGCGAAAAAAAGCTAACTTTTCACCAAAGCGCATTTCACCCTATACCTCACCACCCTCCTCCGGATCCCCTCTCCGCGCGCCACAACGCACCTGAGCCTACGCAGCGTGACGCCGACCCTGTACACCGCCTTTCCAAAGCACTGGCTGGGAACGCTGCTGCAGCGACTGCCGCACCTGCGCTCGCTGGACCTGAGCTCGTGGCCGCAGCTCGACCACGCTGCCTGCTGTGCCGTCTCGCGCCCGTCAAATCTACGGAGTCTGGTGGCGCGGGAGTGTGCGAACGTGACGGTGGGCGGGCTGGTCAACCTGCTGGGACACCTTCCGTGTCTGGAGGAGGTTGATTTCAGCGGCACGAGGGTTGCGGCTACTACCGCCGTCGTCGCGGCTATGGCGGGGTTGCCGCTCGTCAGGGTCTTGGTCAGGAACGTAGGGATGACGGACGGGGCGTTGGAGATTCTCGCAAGGGGGTTGGGGACGGGGGTTGGGGAGGTGGATGTCGGCTGTGATGGCGCGAACGCGGGGAGGGTCGGGGAGAAGGGTGTCGAGGCGCTATTGGGGTATTGTTTCGCGCCGCCGGTATACGATACTGCTGCTGGCGCTGCTAGTGTGGTAATGGGGTTGACAAAGGTGGGCGTGTCCGGGAATAGGATATCACGGCGGTCGGCACAGATGTTGCTTAGGACCACCCGATTGGCCTCGCTGGATGTTGGTCCGTTGGAGTCCGTCGATGGGATCATGGCCACAGTCAAGATATACGCTGTGGCGAATCTGGACTACTTGAGGATCGACTGGAGGGTTGTTCTCGATCCTGCCTTTGTGGGGGTTGGAAGGCTGGTGCTTGTTAATGTCCCCACATTCGCTAGTCCCCGTGCGGCCCGGGGGATCGCCGCGGTGGTTGGGGCGGAGGGGGTGAGGGTGCTAGAGCTGGAGATGGAGGTTGGCGATGGGTCCGGCGATTTCTCTTTCTTTGACGACGAGGCTGGAGGGAGGGAGAAAGAGGAGAGGGGGAATGTGGACGTGCTCTCTTCAGTTGCGAAACGCAAGAGGGAGATTGGATGGCGCGGGAAGGTGAGGGTTGTTAGGGATTTGGCCGGCGGGGAGAGTACTGAGCGCGGGGTCTCCGGGGAGATGTGGGGGGTTGTTAGGGAGGGTGTTTAGCCAGGGAGCGTGCCATTGATTAGCATCATCATAATAACAATGTTTATGGAAGGTCGTAATCTCGTGACTCCGCAAATGCGTCTAATAGGATACCGTCTTTTCGGGAAATTTACAACCAGATCTACAGAATCTGGGAATAAACACATCTCAACGTTGACGGCGGGTGACTGCCAGTAAAGGAGCCCGATTCTGGGCTCATCTTCCGAGTGATCTGTAATGACTGGAGACTGCATCTGATCAGCGGTTAGTGGGTGGGTGGGAGCTTTGATGAGCGGGATATAATTGGCTCTGGAGAAGTACGGCAATCATAAAGGAGTGGTATCAAGACCAAGGCGTATCAGCTTGGACGACGAACTGTTGAAGGTCGAGGTAAAGTTTGTGCCCCCAGCACGAGAAATTCCCGGATTAGCCACTATCCGAAGCCACAGCTTTTCACAGCCCTATCTCATCTCACCCAGCGATACTGTATCCCCGCTCCATATCACCTCTCATTCACCGAATCACCATTCAAACGCTATGAACAGTCTCATTAAAACCTAAATACATACTTCATACGATGCTTCATAAACTCCCTCCTATACTTCTTCCCAAGTCTACATAGCACTCCCAGCCCCGGTTGACCCTCGATAACTCGGTGGCGCGGGAGATCCCGGGAGCGGCCGTCGTGGGATGGCATGTATAAGGTTCGGATCTAGTTTTGTAATGGCACATTCGAAGAAAAAAATTAGCCTCGCATTACTTTACCTCTCGACAAATCTCATACGAGTAGGGGGGGGGGATGGGGGACACAAACCAGGATATCCCTCGAGGTACTGCCCCGGTCGCTGATACGGTTGAACGTACGTCATTGGCGGTGCCGGCGGTGGAGACGCCATACCCGCATTCTGAGGGTAGTAACCGGCTTTGTACGGTTCCGTCGCTCCAGCGGCCAGTAGCGTCCCACCCGCTCCAACAATTGCCGCTCCATGCCCCATGTTCCCGGGCGGAACAGTGCGATCCTCCACGGGTTGATTCCCCGCCCACGCCTCCTCCGCCGTGGGCTTCGTACACTTCTTCCATATCAACACTACTAGGAGAGCTACCACTGCCAGCCCGCCTACCCCGCCGCCGACACCGGCGCCGACCTTCGCTCCGGTACTCATGCCCTTGCGGGAAACTGTTGTCGTCTCGGTGGCGGTCGCGGTGACGGCTGTGGTGGCCCTATAGGTTGACGTTACCGTAAAGGTACGAGCCACACCGATGAAGGATGTGCGGGTCGTGGTCCATGTCCTGGATATCCAGTATGTGGTCAACCAGGTCGTGGTCATGTAGTACGTCGACGCGGGGGTCGCAGTGATCGTCACGGTGCTGGTGATGAAGATCGTGGGGTCCGCCCTCTTCGCTAGCCCCCTCCTCCCCTCCTCCTCTGGCCGGCGGACACAACGAGTGGGGGTCGGCATGCCCCTCCTCGTCAGGGTGATGGAGCTAGTCACATAACTCGTTTCAGTGGCAGTGCTAGTCACCACATAGGTGGTAGTCCAAGTACCCGTTGAGGTGATAAAGGTCCAAATGGTCCTCGTATCCACCGTGGTCGTCGTGGTGATCGTCCGGGTAGTAGTGCTAATACTAGTGCTCGTGCTTCGATAGGTGCTCGTAACAGTCAGCGTCCGTGTCGCCCACTGACACCCCCACCTCGCTTGGGCACTGGTGTAGGTGCATGTCTGGTCGTTGCAGCAGTAGTACAAGCTATTGCATGTGACGCGTTGGCAGATTGTGCTGGTTTGGCGGGGGAGCAAGCGGTCCAGCATTTTTGTCACTGGGGGAGCAGTATTATTCCCGGTGCTGCTGCCGTCGACACTGTGCTGGAGAATCCGCTGTGCGGGCGGGGGTTGCGGAGCGGGGAGCGGGCATGTCGGCAGGTCCCAGGGCAGTGCCCTGGTCAGATTTACGATTTGGAGGAATAACAGGAGGGCGACGCAGAATGGAGACTTCATCGTGCCTGGCGCTCGACGAAGAGTGGGTGGGGGCTTCTACATTTAATGTACCTCTTTTGTCATGAATGGCACTTCTCCCCTTCCCCACGTTCTCTGCACCCCTGGCTCGACGTGGTGGAAGGGCTGAGGCGTGATTGGGTGGTTGATTGCTTTTTGTGCCCATTTACATCTTTAAAGCGGGAATTGAGTGCATTTTGGGCGTGATAGTCCCTGCGTGGTGAGGCTATGGCGCTTTTGTAGCACCTCGAACGGCCCTCTCAATTATTGGTTGTCGGCGGAAGCGAGGGATTGTGTTACGATGGTAAGGGTACGAGATTAGGCAAAGATAGTGGCGAAGCCGGCAATACTTGTAGAGAGTGATGAGTGGGGGGGGATCTAATTGCTTGGGATTTTGTGAGTGACTATTTACGGAGGTATGGCCCCTAAGTTTTGTATATTCCACTAGCAAGGGTGGAAAAGCTAGCAGGGATAAGGGGAGCAGATTAGGTATGGTGTTGGCTTGGGGATATCATGGTATATGTAAAATATTTTCATTAACAATTGTTTCTGTAGTAGATTCCAATCAATCATGATATCTACCTCTTTGGTTTACAATTTGATGTCTTCCCACCTAACACGAGATGACCAAAGAGATTGTCAGCTTTTACATTATATTGGATGGAAGTATGGACAAATTCAAGAGAAAACTGGATTCTCTGTTCACCAGATTCAATACACATGTACTTTACCAGCTACATCAACCAAGTGGCTGGGACGTCTGCCAATTCTTACCCAAGCACAAATTGAAGATCTTGTAGCATATGTTTGTATGTCATCCTGTAACCAGTGTCTTTCGTTTCAGCAGCTGGCTGAGGAACTTGACTTGGATGTAGGGAAAAAAAGCCATTCGAGCTGTTTTAATAAATGAGGGATTTCACTGACAACTGGTGGTTAAAAAAAACAAAAAAAACACCTATTATCAAGCAAAACTGCATTATCAGACTCCAATGGGCCCAAGAGCACATAAATTGGATAATGGAATGGTGGTATACAATTCCCTGGACTGATGAAACTTGGGTCTCTAGTAGAAGACATACATGAACTTAAGTGACCTGGAGAGCTGGTGAAGAATGAGAGTCCACTTGCATAGTAGAAAAATGTCCAAGAAAGTGGGGATGCATGTTTTGGGGCTACTTCTATAGAAATATGCAAGGCACAGGCATATTTTGGGAAAAGGATTGGGAATCTATTAATTCCTTAAGATACTGTACACATACTATAATGGTAATTCATGGTTATCTTGAACTGTGCCGCTGGGAGGGGATTTAATTGCAACTCATGCAAGATGGCATAACAGAACATGCCGCTGAAGATACTACAATAGAGTTAAGAGAAAGTGGAATTCAGATTATCCAGTGGCCTACATTCTCATCAGATTTAAATCGAATAGAACAGGTTTGGCATATAATGAAAGATTATCTACAAGATAACTTTCTAGAAAATATGTCCTATGATTGCTTACAAAATGCGGTAAAGGAAGTCTGGGATAATGTCGGACTGCATGCGTTCAGAAGCTCATTGAAACTATGCCTGCAAGGTATCAGGCAGTGATTGATGCAAATGGTCTCTTTACAAAGTACTAGGTAGGCCACTTATGTATTTATTAAACTCTATTTCTTAACTTTATTAATATTGAAATGAGTGTATTGATCAAGAAAACCCAACACTCCTAAGTTTCTCTATAGATCATTACACCTATTTTTGTGTCTCCATATGGTAATATGGGGGAGGGGGCAATTGTCACGAACGTGACTTAGTAAGGAAAGGGTTTTCACGTGACACATGGTTATGAGTCACAGGTATGTTATTGTTTCACGCATATAACCTATTCGGGTTTTATGATTAGTTATGTGTGGGATTTGTGATGCTTTCGCACATGGCTCAAGTATGAGTCATGGGACATGCGCCTGACGAGTATGCCTTACGAGTATGCCTTACGGGCAAGCCTTGCGCATATGAGTTATGTTTTGCACACGACCTCATTATGATGTTATGGGTTTCGTGCATATGACTCAGTCGAGTCATATGACTTGTTTATTGCGTTATGATTGGTTTATGAGTTTTGCACATGACCTCACTATAAGGTCATGGGTTTTGAGCATGTGATCACTTTGGTCACATGACTTGTTTGTTTTGATTTGGTTTTGTACATGTGACCACTTTAGGTCACATGATTAAAGGCGGGAAGAACCCTATATAAGGAGGCCGGTGCGGCCGAGGAAGATAGGTTCTTCACGCTTTGTTCTAAGTACTTTTCCTCGTCCTTGCCGTCGCTTCGCCTCGAGCGTTTCTTTCGCCATCATGATGGGCCTTGATGCCTTTGATTCTGGGGGAGATATCTGAGTTCGCTCAGTAGTTCCTGGGGTCTTTGGTATTGAGGTCTGTTAGGCGTTGCGTGGCGGATAACTTGTTTGCGTCTCGTTTCGTTGGACTGGTTATCTCACGATACTAGCACTTCGAGCACTCATCACGGTCGCATACGAGCCCCTTTCGGTAAAATGTCTACGGCTTCCTGTCTATCGTCTACTCGCAGGTCGCGTTCGATTGGGGGGATTGAACATTGTGTTTGAGGGGATCACCCGTGTCGTTCTTTGGGCCAGCTCATGTCTTTTGTTGGGTTTTAACGGAGTCCTTAGTTCATGAGATACAAAACGCCCTTGGGTTAGACTGATGACCTTCCCAAGTATCAACTCGTCGTACCGGCCACATCATTTCCTCAAGGGAGGGGGCCTTACCGGCCCCTCCCTGCCTCGTTACTTTATGGTTTCTACAGTCGGAATCCTACGATGTTGTTTATCACCGTTCCCTTGGAAGTTTTGTCCTTGCGGCATATACGGTGGTTCAGTCAGGTGTCTCCTCCTCGCTACGGTGGGGATGGCTTTGACCCTGAAAAACTTTACCCCCTGGTGTGGTTTTTCTTAGCTGCCTGGGGTAGTGTGGGACGATTGGCTGCCAGGCACTCGCGTTGTCTGTGTGTCTGGGTGGTTCAGTTGTGGTCTGTGGTTGGCGGCTTCACCCATTGCAAGTGGGGCCTACCTTCCGTTTGTCTGCTTCTGTTCATTCGCCCTTCCCCATCTTGTCGCGTCAGTTGGGGATGCCTCTTGCCCGTTGTTCGGTCCGTGCCTGTTGCCGG